CAATGGCGCAACTCTGCAAGAAAATAAAGAAGGTAGACAGTGGAACATAGGGACCCTCTCCATTATCCAGAGAAGAGAGCATAGAGTGTGCGCACCAGCAGGGTTTTATAGTACTGAAGCCTGCATGCTTCTTGTTAATACGCACAAACATGACAGTGGGCAATGTTTTCATCCTGAATATTCAGAGTCCTCAGGGGAAGATTCTAAAGGGAGCACCAGCCATACAGGATACACGTGCAAATCAGTCCTTAAGAAACAGACAGGGTGCAGTCTAGCACCAACAAAACGCACAGCATTTCTCTAGTTCTTTAATGCTCCCCCTCACCTCATGCTCATGACCCCAGTTCTACCTTAAAACTCCAGCTAGACAAGAGCATGTACATAGGTACAGAAAAAAGCTCTCGACACTCAGAATCAGGACAGAAAAACCCCTCAGGAACAGTTGTGGGAGTAACAATACCAATAAACGTAGGGGGGTCGGGGGAAGAAGGGAAAGAAAGGGGGAGCTGATTGCAATGATCAATGTAACCCCCCACCTGAGGGTGATGACCAACAGAAACATGAGTGAAGGGAGATAGCAGACGGTGTAAGATCTTAAAATAATAATAATTATTTTATCAGGGGTTCATGAGGGTGGGAGAAGGAGAGGGGGAGGGAAAAAAGAGGAGTTGATACCAAGGACTGAAGCCGAAGAAAATGCTTTCAACGTATGAAAGCACAATATGCACAAATGTGATGGATACAATTGATGTAGCTGTAAGAGCCCCCCAGTAACAGGATTGTTACCAGTGCTGTAAGAGCCCCCAGTAACAGGATTGAAAAATGAATAAGCGATAGAGGAGGCGGATCCCCTCAGAGCTGGGCATCTTCTAACTCTGTCTGTACATGAGGAGCTCGGCTCTGGGGGAGACAGCTTTGTCTTGTCATTTTGGGAGGGTGCCTGTGCAGACTCGTCAGCCCTGGAACGCGTGCATTTGCCCCTTCCTGTATCGCAGGACTGTGGAGGTGGGCCTCGCACTGGGGCTGGCGTGCCGGCATC